GTTTTATTAAAAAAAAACATTAAAAGAGAAAATATGTGATCTTAGTAGTATTTATAAAAAAAAAAACATAACGAGGATGAGCAGGCTGGTTATATCAAATTCTTTACTGAGAAACGTCTTTTTTTTTTTACTTCTTACCAAATTCTATTTAAAAGCTGAAGATTTGAAAGACGGAATAACCAAACAAATTAACCCAACAGTTTAATCATCCAATCAATTCCTGGTACCAATAGAAAAAAGTAAAATAACAAAAATACCGAACTCCAAAACATTGTTATATTTATGACTTGGTACAGGCATTTCCTTATGTAGGAAATGGTAGATAAAACCTGTGTTTATAGCTAGCTAAACCTCTCACTTATATGACAGTCATATGAAATTCCATTATATTATATAGCAGACTTATCCAATCAATATGGATGCTAGTATATTAAAAATGTATCCACTAGTTCAGCGCATTTAACAAAGAAAATTAAAGAACCTTATTGAACAAGCTCACGATGCCCAATTTATAAAATTTTTTTTCTAAAAAGCAACATCTTTGTGGTATATTGACTAAGCTGTTCTTCACAAAAGAAATAATAATGATAACAAAGATATGTTCATGTTATGTCAGGATTTGTATAACGAAGTCATTTATTTTCAAAGTTTACCAAAAAAATCAATCGAACAATTTGCTTCTGACATCACATTTAAAAGAGGGACGAAAGATACCAGAGGGACAGTCAAACTCATAGATCGTAAACAAACTGACAACGCCATGGCTGAAAATAAAAAGCTAATCAGACAAATAATAGTACAGATGACACAACATAGAAAACTAAAGACTAAGCAACACGAACCCCACCAAAAACTGGGGGTGATCTCAGGTGCTCCGGAAGGGTAAGCAGATCCTGCTCCACATGTGGCACTCGTCGTGTAGCTTATGTTATTACAAATCCGGTAAATAGTCTAATTCGGTAGGTCATTTCCATGTTAAGCTGATAGCACTATCTGTACAATGTTAGTCAGAATAATATAAAAATAATGACATGTGGTATGATTTCCAATGAGACAATGGTCAACCTGAGTACAGAAACTATCAACAACCCGACATAACAAAATGTAAAATAATTCAAGCCAGAAAAACAACAGTCTTATTTAGAAAGCAAACATATTCCTCGACATTAGACAGGACAGTAAATTTCGTCGTGTGAATCTCATAGTGTTATATTTCCACTTTTGATAAAAACGGAGATCGCTATATATTTGAGATCCAAGTGCAATGGTTTTATTATCTCCCTATACAACTATGATACGTGATTTCTACACTCTACGAGTTTTTGTCAGAACTACACTGTTCTATCTCCACACTCTAATTGGATTATGATGGCTTATTCCTCTAGTTAGTTCAGAGAAAAATATTGTTATAGTGTTGTATCTCCACTATTTCTCATGGTTTTTTTTTTGCTGTTAAATAATTGTTATCAAAACTATCTTAGTAGTACTATGATTAAATGGTTTGTATGGTTTGGACTCAATCTATGAGCAACTCTTATCAAATCCATCAGTACAGAATTGGAGATATTACAAAGTTAAAAAATCCATGGTCTATCTCCAATGGAAATATAGGGATTAATTTCTAAAACTACATTGTTTGTAGTGAAATGTTCTATCTGCGAAAAAGATAAAAAAAAAAATCTGCGAAAAAGGGGATGCTTTGTTTATCTAAGTTGCTTGTCTATTAAAAAATCAATCGAACAAAGAGTTACTCTTCGTGTACGTATATTCGATTCCTATATAACATTTTATGTCTCAGTCAAACATTTATCATATTGAGCTTTTAAACTTTAATCTAGATTTTTACCACTATTACCAAATGGGAAATACACCATTACAAGATTCACACGACGAGGTGTCTATACAATATATGACAATCTCATAAATATATGACGTGGTTTTACTAGTTCTTTTTAAGATCTCAAACCTCACTTTTTAATCTCGATCAGAGGACTTTAAAACACAATAAAAGGTAGTCTACCTTCCTTAAATGTCTTTTGTTTGCAATAACATGTGAGTAGCCTACATTACAATAGAACAATTTGACAGTGGTGATAATGACACCTTCTTTACCTGAATTTATTTTTATTTATCCAGATAATTTCATTTTTAAGTTTGATTTTATGTCCGTCATGTTTTCCTTTTATTGTAGCATATGTCTTTTTTTGTTGTTGTTGTTTTTTGTTTAATTCCATTATTTCGTCTAATCAGAGTAAAGATTTGTGACATCATGCATGCCGTTACCATAGTGAAGCGTCCTTTATAAATGGGTCACAAACCGAAATTATTACTGACTGCGTCAGAACTAGTAAGTACGTAAATAACCGTAAAGTATTTGACATCATTGCAAATATAAAGTAGAACACGTGTTACCTGGTATTGTTTTTATAATATACATTATGTGATTAGTGTAAATACAAGTTTTATGTAGCGTGGATAATAATGCTTTATTAAAAAAACGTTAAAAAGGAAACAATGTTTTTGTCAGTTAATTCAATTTTGAGTGGGAAGGTTAGTTATTTTGTTTCCGATGATATTCTTATTTCATTTTTCAATACAGTAAAACTTTGATTTTGCTCTCAGACAGTGGCTTTTTACTCTTAAGAATTAATTAAATATTCATTTCTAGGACATGATAAAAGGCTTATGTTAACACGATTTGCAATAGAAAATAAATACCTTTATCATAACAAAGTAGGAAATGCAAGTAACTTTTATGTGTAATAAAAACAATGGCAATCGTTCTGCATAAGCCATCCGTGATGATCAGTTACGGTTCCATATGCTTTAACAAACCCAAGAGAACAAAAGAGAAGAATGTGTCCGAGGACGTATATTAAACTGTTTATAATGTAGCTTTTCCGATTTCATACACCGTATCAACCTTCAACCAATATAGGTCATCGAGTCTAGCTTTCGGGATTGTATCAATGTCTCAAATAGATACGGGTCATATATTTAAAAGCCATTAAAGACTCTTTTTAATACTCTTAAACTAAATCCACCGACTTTGTTCTTTGTAGAGTAAGCATTTATAACTTAGCTTTAATATGCTGCAAACAAGATCATTTGGTAACTGTAACGAAGGCAGATCTGCACCGGGTAAACATCAAACATAAGCCCGCATGTAGCTGTACCCATCCCGTTGATGATTGTAATCACTATTTTTTTTCGAGTACCCTTTCCGCAATGAAGATATATCCTTTATAAGATCAGAAAATTTGTGTGATAACAATAAACTCATCATAGATACAAGGATTACAATATTTGACAATTGAGTTTCTGTTGGTTGGTGATGGAGACCTTACATCTGATCAAAATATAGATTTTTTTTTCTAAATTCTGTACACTCATTTATCAGGAAACACAAAGATTCAGAACATACAGATATATTGAATTTTCTTTGGCATCTTTCGCCTCTCTTTTTTCCACTTCAGTCTTGTCTCGTCTCATTTCCTAGTACATATATATATGTTGTGTACAAATTGTAATGTTGTACAAATTATACAGTATTTTTGTACAAGTTATCAGTATTTTGTAAATCTCTTTACATAATTAGATAAAATAAGCACAGTGTCTTTGGTTAAGATTATCACTGTTTTATTTCCACAACTACATGCTACAGTCTTGCACACAGTACTGACATAAAGTTTATATAAAAACACAAAGATATTTTGTGGACATAGAATTTGGTATTAGTCAAAAAATAAAAATATAATCTAAACCAATCAGGTGTCCTTATTTGTAGTTTTATGACATAGAGGACAGTGCTTAATGTTAGGCTGAAGTATATAAATTTGTGAGAAAAACATCGAACTGGATAATTATTGAAGATACACTTGTATCACCTGGTGAAAGATGGTGTGTGTCAAAATACTGATAACTTGTACAAAAACCCTGTACAAATTAAAATTTGTACTAAATTACAACTTGTACACAACTTATATATATATACTTTTGGTTTTTTTTAGTAGTTCATAAATTCCTTTCTTCATGATTAAATGTTTTGCGATTATATTTGTATACAAAGACGTCTCTATTGTTATAACTTGTGTCAAATCCCTTTTGCTACTCTTGCAAATAAAACACGTTTAAGCGAACAGAAAGAAGTGTGTGTAGAATGCTTACTTCAGGATGTCCCGTTAAAAGGTATTTCAGATTTATTTTAAAATAAAAATTTACCAGATTTACAAGTGAGGTAAAACTTCAGAATCTCCTGATAACGTATTTATGTATAATTTTCAATATGACCATCCCTAGAATCTTTTTTTTTTTTTCAAAATAAAATCTATTATTTTCGATTAATAGTAATGTAAAAAAAAATATCTGTTTAACCCGAGAGAGGTGTCAAAAAAGTTTGGTAGAATAAATAATACGGTAGCACAGCAGTCTATCCATGATGGTTGAAATTCATATTTTAGTAATGTCAGGTACTTGTTTTAGCAGCAAAGGTCATCGAATATTCTTTATTCTTTTAAACCAAAATCCATGGTACAGGAACATTATAGAGTTCAAGTATATAACAAATAGTCAGAATTAATACGACTGTATGATCTACAATGGTTAAAAAGAGATTAAAGCTTATATAAAACTTATGTACGAAAATACAATCATGGTATATAAATTCTAACAACTTTTGAAGAATCCCTAAAGTCAATTAGGCTAAATTTCAGATTAAAGTAAGATCATGACGCAAGTGATAGCAAATTCTGAAAAAAGGCATGATATAGGGTGGACATTACCTTATGCTATTTCTTGCGCTTATGTGTCCCTTAAAGACATCCCTGGAATTTTGATGTCAAATCAGGTCGGTTTACATTAAAGTCTTATTGCTAGACTACGTTCGTGGATTTAACTGAGCAGTCTGTGCGGGATTGTTAAGGTTACAATATAGTAAATAATTAAGGCTGTAATAATGAAATAAAAAAAAACTCTTTTTTTTTTGAAAATTTAATGACCGTTTTTAACGCAGACATATTTCATGATCTGACAAAAATAAATAATGACAACACACGCACTAAACACAACATGAACGTTCAAAATCAACAAAGTAAAGTAAAGTTCATTTTAACTAGACTTAAACATGTCACATAACAGTCTTTCAATCGGAATACTTCCAATTGTTCGACGAAAAAATACATCTTCGACGGCACGTGGACTCAGAGTTCGTAGCACCGGAAGCAGTAACAACAGCTTTCCAAATCTAAACTTGTTAGAGGATTGGTTCGTCAAAATGTAGTCATTCAACATCAACTGCGCTTGGTCTTGCAGTAGTTCTATTTGAAAATAATCCCGTATACCACGAGCTTCTGAAATGAACACATATCATCTTTTCAGTAATAGTTCTATATTCTTGTTTAGTGGAGATGATCTAAAAAGAATACACTGTTGACACAGAGATATGTCTCGCTTGTATGTAATTTTGATATTTAAATGGAAATGTTGAAATTAAAATAGCAATACTCGTGATAGTTATATAACTAAACCATGACTGAAGTACAGGGCCAAATAATTCCCGCAGAAAAAAGTTGTCAATGGTAATTCAACTACATACCAAATATCACTCACTTATCATGTGTGGTTCACATTTAACCGACATAATCACAAACAGTCACATGCCAACTATAAAGAAATTGCATAGCTAACTAATCTTAATGGAAATGCATACCAAATACCATTGACTTATAAGTCGTTACATAATTACAAACATTAACATGTAAACTATTCAAAAAACCAACAGACCATAACTGAGTGGTCAGGGCCAACTTATCTTAATGGAAATGAGATGTGCCAATGCAGTCAGGATTCTACTTCGTCAAAATTATCTCTCCATTACGCCAGTCAATTTTTACAATCGTAAAAATGGAAGCCATTGTAGGGATGACGCGCTGCCAATTTAGCTCTTGAAAACCGATAAATTTATCCACACAGCACCATTTCGATCCTTATATGCCAGATGTATTTCAAAAGACAAATGTATCTACTAGCTATTGAGCATCATTTAATGTACTTTCCTGCATACAGTAAACTTAAACCTATTGTCTGATCGGTTGTCAGGTGGAATTTTCGAAAGTTCAAAAACTTTAAAAAAAAATTCTAATTAAATATTTCGTGGAAGGGCAGACTAAAATTTTTCAGAGGTTTAAGACTAATAACCACACAAAAAATGAAGTTTTTTTGAAGATATGCATTTTTAAGATCCAACTGTAAAGTCTGTCGTCAAGTACATTTCGTTAAAAGATGTTATTCGAAAACACCTTCTCTGTTGTTATGACTCATTAGAAAGATATTTCACTTGACCCATGTATTTCATTCTTTAGTACTGTGAATTTTTAATGTTATTCTATCAACATGTAGCCTTAATATATAAAAATAATAGAATCTGAAACGAGATGATGTATCAAATATTTTTGCTTTATACGTTTTCAATACAGAATAGTCAACTCACACACGCCCGAACATGAAAAGGTGCACTCGACTTTCTCGTTTCGGTGTAATTATTGCCCATTTTGGGAATTTTTTCCCAAAAAACTATCGCCAGGGGCAGAGGTGCAAATCAATGCTTCAGAAAGATCAATCTATTTTCTATCTATGGATTTTTTTCCGGCGGAATTGATGCTTATGCACAAAAAAGATCCAACTGGATTTGAACCTGCAACAATCGACTGTTTTATGAAAATTTGTCTTTAATTTAAAAGTTTACAAATATCTGGAAGCTCTTTACTACAATTCAAGTAAAAACACGTATATAAGATGCAAAAAAATCCTAAATCATGCAACTTTATTAAACTTTTAAAGCCCATAGACACAGAAGTAAACAATTCAAATATACCAATTTGGCTTTTTTACCATCTCTAACAAAGAGTTCCATTTCTTTTGTTTAATTTCAACTGAGTTTCCGCCTGCAATGCTTATACAACTGCATACCAAATATTATTGACTTATAAACGGTTCTCTTTAAACTGACCTTAACCTAAACTTTGACATTTAAACTATGCAAAAGTGTTCAAGTCAAAAGACTGAGTGAGAGGGCGGATCCGAATAATCTCCATGGAAATGAGTTGTGACAATTCTGATACAACTGCACCCCATTACTATCATTGATTTACCATTAGTGATTCTCCTTAAACTGACCTAATTACAAACTTTAATAATTTTTTACAAAAACTACACAAAATTAAAAATTGAGCAACATGAATTCCACCCAAAACCGGAGCAGAACGAAGGTACTCAAGAAAGGTATGAAATTCCTGCTTCACTAGTGGGACAGTTAACATGCATTTAAGAACTTGAAAATTGACGTGTCAGCAGCAATACCCCCTTTTGTACATCTTTAGGTGAGACACAAAAACAAATAATATGTTCAAACTAAACAATACATGTTACAGTGGTATTGATTTTCGTGGATTTTGTGCTACAATCGAAACAAAAAAAATAGTGCCTAACAGAAATATTTTCTATTTAGATCACAAGTGAATTTCAAATTCCAGAAAATATGTGTACATACCAGGTTTGAACAAAACCAATGCTTTTAAGCATGCGTATTCTGTCGTGTCCACACGATTTGCGTTTAGTCTCGATATGATATCCTGGACTAATCTCAGCTGTGCTGCTATAAGGAAACTCCTGTCTCCAGTATTTGCGTCCAATGAATATCCATTGTTTGTCATAAGTGTCCCTACAAAATTATTTGCATAAATATATCATCTCTCTCTTGACGGTGGAATTGCAATCTAATTCGTATCGATTATCAGGTATTCTCCAGATTGATACTCTTAACAGCTTCGCGTCACAATATGGAGCTTATTGTTGATTATTATCAATACGATGATCATCGATTTATCGGATTGTATTTGTGTTTTTCGTGAAAAAGTTTTGTTTTACAGGAAAACCGGAAGAGAACTAGATAAGTTGAGGTCAAACATCCATTCCGATCAAAATACTGACAACGATGAAAGGTAAAGGTCAAAGTTATTAAGTTTTGGTCAAGTATATTTGACCTCATAAAGCCGTGATATGCAAATTTAGGGAGAGTTGAACCGAGTGATACAGGAACAGGGAACATCGATAAATGAGCAGTGCGTTCTAGTGTGAGTTATTAATCCTTTCACCAATTTTGATAACTTAAGTTATCCACAGGTCAGGATTTCAACAACTTACAATAAGTGGTCAACGTACAAAACGTCATAAAAATTGTTCGAAGTTGACCTGATTCTATGTAGGTAGTACAAAAAATAGACAAGAAATAAATAAAAGTCATATGATACTTCAAATTAAAAAAAAAAGTTGAGTATGTTTAATATACTTGAATGGCTATGTTTTACTATAAAACACTTGTAACTGGACTTTCTTTTAAAGGAAACCCTTTATCTTATCAAAATCTTCAGATATGTACTTCTATTGAATTAATGTATTCTCGTACCCAAATTCTCCGATAGCTTTTCCGTATGCAGTGACCTTAATCTTGAGACCTCTTGTTAGTACTTTGGCAACCGCACAGCGCAAGTGCGAGGAAAAACCGTGATGAAAGAAAAGGCAACATAGATAGGGTTTTAACTTAATTGATTCAGAAAGAAATATTTTAACACACCAAATCAATTAACAACTGTAACGTTACGTTATATAACAAATGGAAACGCATCGAAAATATAGAAATACTAAACATCGCTCTATTGCATATCTATCATCTCACTTATATTTCACGTCACATAATTCTGTGTTGATTATTTATCTCCCAGTTGATACCATATTCCAGGGCTTGTTTTTCCTATTATGATTTCTTTGATAGAGGGTTGCTGCTCACAAGGAAGCTTTTAAACCAAGAGTTCCAAGGGGTGAAGATGAAATCATCCCTTCGTAAATTTTACGGACGCCATCACGAGTTGGTTGATCGTGATGGAATATCTGTTTCACAGATGACGACGGATACGTTCCAATTGTAATTACAATCCCGTCCCCTTTTATACGAATATGACTTACAGAATTAGACTTATCACCGGGTTTGTACTTATATGAGCAACACGACGGGTGCCACATGTATAGCAGGATCTTCTTATCCTTCCTGAGCACCTGAGATCACCCCAATTTTTGGTGAGGTTCTTGTTGCTTAGTCTTTAGTTTTCTATGGTGTGATTTGTGTACTGTTGTTTGCCTGTTTGTCTTTTTCTTTTTTTAACCCATAGCGTTGTCAGTTTCTTTTCGACTTGTAAGTTTGAATGTCCCTTTGGTATCTTTCGCTTCTCTTTTATTAAAATCACGATCGGTAAACTTCGGTAATAACACCCGAAAGTTAATCAGCAGGCAAAGTTTTCACTGAATGACATATTTTTGTCCATTATACGTTATGGTTTTGTAATGAGTGTAAAAAAAAATCGTGCAGCGAGGACTTAGTTTAGTACATTAACATGCATTGGTTCAATAATTTTCTTAACATTATAATTTCAAGAAACTCGTTTCATATAACTTTAAATAAATTACCAGCGTGAAAATGTGACCTTGAATCAAGGTTACCCTTGTGTAAGTTTATCAACTGTTGATACAATATGCCACCAAATGTCAAATTCCCATAACTCAAATTTGTTAAATAAAATTCGGTACAATAATATGGTCAATTATGGTCAACTGCAAATGATGGCAAACAATAGTACAATTTTTAGAACTTTCTATCAAATAGTCTAAGAAGAGTTGAGTTCACAAGCTGATATTATTGTCAGAATAATAAAAACAAATAATAAAAAGTCCTACAACTCCCGTAAAAAATGGTCGGATCAAAATGACGGTATAATATGGTCAACTCCACATGTAATTACTATACCACCTTCGGCGGGGCAAGCGAGGGACAACACGAACGCACGTGATATTGTGATAAGCATTCCAATACTCGTAATTCAAAATATCGGCAAACAGGAAGTAGGTATCTGACAGATCCGAAAAGTAATCACTCCCAAGCTGCAGACAAAACATGAAGTTTTTCTTTTCAATAGTTTCTGAGAAAAGTGTGACGAAAATATTTGTTTGCCGAACATACGGACAGACAAAGTAATTGCAATATATAGCCCCCACTCTAATATTGACAGGAAAGCTCGCCAAACTGAAAACCAAAAGGTATTTGAATGTTCGATAATGCTATTTACTATTATAAAGAACTACTCTGTCTGGTAGAATTTACTACTTATATCATTAATGATTAATTGTACTTAGTTTTATCGACAGAAAAAAAGCAATTTTACTTACCAATGTCAATAGGCAGAGACCATTGTGCTGCACTTAGAATGAATAATTCGCACCAAGATTCCTCGAGAAGAATAGCTTGATCCCTAAATGGAAGCTGTAGGAATGATGGGATACTTCTGGCCCATTTCACACACATGAAAAGAAGTCTAGCCGCTGTTTCGTAGATATTATCATTAGCCAAGAGAGCATTGTCTGAAGTCACTGCAACTTGTGTATATTTTGGGACTGGCTGGTGAATTGATTGCTGATAGGCAGATGACGGTGGAGAGAACGGAAGAACCCTTGGTGTTAGTTTTGGTGACTCTTCAGATGAACTTTTTGGACTTGTGGATGATGTGACGTTTGGACTGTCACTTTTGTCAGATGCTGGGGATCCTAAAAGTATTGAGAAATTTATAAACATATAGTCTTCTAAACAATACCGTTGTTAAAACCTAACATTTTTTGTAAAACAATGAGGTACATTCTGTAAAGGTTAATGAAAATAGTTCAAGATATCTGTGAAATGATGGCATGTATTAAACCCCTTTATTCCAGAGAACTTGTTCCTCATCATTTTCGATAATCTGTCACTGTTTACTGAGCTCTATATATCATAATTCTTTTTTGTTTGATAAAGTTCTTGGTTAACAAAATAATTCTAGTAACAAAGTATTTTCAAAAGCACGTGTTTTTACATGCTACTAAATTGTTTTATCATCTTGCTTTATAAACTAAGACCAAGTAATGACCTTCAGTAATTATAGTATAGAATTCATATCCTATAGTGTGTATACTAACCATTTTCTGATGAGGAAGTAGAAGCCGGTTGAGGGGATGGAGTCATTCTTTCACTTTTATTGTCAGACCTGTCAATTTTATCATTTGCGTTATCTGATGGTGTTGAACATCTGCTAGTGTTAACTAACGTTGGCTGCGTCGGAGAACTGTTTGTGGAGGCATTGCTGCTACCATCGCTGTTAAAGTGGCTGTATTTTGTACGTACATCGATGTTAACGTTGCAAGAGGAAAAGTGTGACTGCAAAGCATGGTGTCGACGTTGTTCGTGCTGATACTGAAGGGCAAATGCGGGAGGATAAACAGGGCTTGGTCTGTACGTTGGAAACTCTGGTACCCTCAAATTAGCATTAAATGGTGGATAATGGTGATATTGACGGCTGAAAAATATTGACATTAATTTTCATATAAAATAAATAATCTATGGAATGACAATCAACCGAATGGGCTACAAAAACGTAGGGAATCCCCTTCTTTCAAAAGGCTATAAAACAAAGGTCATGCAAACACATATGTGACCAGCCATGAGATTTTCAGGCTTATTGAAGTACCAGGGTCAAAATGAATTTTTAACATTTTTATGAAGTATACATAGATTCAAAACACCCTGACAAGTTATTTTGCTAGATTTAGCAAAATAACAGAATTATGGTAATTTTTGTTAGTTTCGATTTTATCAACATCTTAATTTTTTTCTATCAATTTTTTACATGTAGGTTCATCTACTATAGTTATCATTGAAACTTGTCTTTTATATTTTTTTTTTTTTGTGTACGGGGGGGGGGGGGGGTCTAGCCTTTATTGATTTTTATATAGAAAGGATCGAAATACCCCCACCCCTATCTTCGTGTATTCTTAAGTTGAGTTCATTAAGAAAAAAGATGGATGAAACCAACATGTTGTAACGTTACGATGAATAGTAGGGGAGACAAATTAGAAATTATGGCTTCACTCACAAAACTGCTTGGAGGCAGATGCAGCTGCCACATTCAATCAAATATGTCTCATTAGTTCTGAGTTATTATTTGATATGCTATGCTCTTGTTTAAAATGGATAGAATATTTAACCCAAATTTCGATCGGTAAAATTGTGTAACTGTTTGTAGGTTTTATTTGTTTGCCTAATCACCTGATACGTGTAAATTATATAAGTAGCAGGTCTGACAAATGGCCTTTTCAAATGACGATTATAAAGAAATCAAATTAATAAGTCAACACATTGAGGTGAAGTATTGGCAATTGATTTGGCGGTATTTCGAATTTTCACTAAATTAAGTATCCAATAATAGACACGTTTCATCGAAAAACTGATGAAAATAGCATTTATATATTTCATTTTCCAGAGATATATAATCTTATAAAAAGTAGAGAAAATTATCAATATGCATATGTATGACATAGAGTGCACTTAAAGAAGACGGAATTTTTTTTTCACTTTCAAATTTTTCGAAATTTCCGTCATTGGAATTTGTTTTCAAATGACATTATTGCTACGCATTGCTGCCATTAGCGTGGGATAGACATTTGCACAAGCATATACCGTTACTTACATATGTGTAACATTTTGTCAAAAGGATGGACCATCTTAATTCACGAAATTCGGGGAGCCACTCAGTAAATAAGAGAAAGAAAAACGGTTAACATTTTGTATGCATGTGTTGTCAACATCCACTTGTGAACAAGGACTTGTTACTTTTATCAAAGCATTGAATGTGTTAAATGATAATTAAAATTAATACTGTGTATAAATGGTGTGATGTTTTATAATATGTATATTTCCTTCAAACCGATGAATTTTATAGACAACATCCTACGGGAGATAACTCTAAACAATAAAATGCTGGTTTAAAAATTCCTCTGTGTAAATCAGTACAAATATACCATTCACAGAAGAATTGGGATTGATGTGTCAAAATTCCTTGCATCGTAATAATGTATTGAACGCTATTATTTCAAACATTTTTGGGAGAAATATATTTCAACAGTTACAAACCTTTCAAAGAACTCATCGAAATCATATGGATACCCAGTTTTATGACTGTGTTCATCTATATTTTCCTTTTTATACTGGAAACATCTTGGAGAACGTTCGTGCTGAACAGCTAAAATGAAAATAAAAGATAGTTCACACAAGGTTATAAGAAAAATTTTCGCTACTGTTTTAAAAATGTATGACCCTCAGCGTAAGGCTACAGCATTGATAAAAAAGATAATGTTGTATGATTTATGCGACAATGATTCACCAAAGACCAAATGACAAGAATGATTGTGAACAACTTCAGATCATTGAACAACTTTTTCATCAACGTATAGTAAATTATATAAAGGTCCAGGACGACAAAATGTGAAACCATTCAAATACAAGCATTTTATCTGAATTATCATTCAGGACATGTTACTGTTTGTAAAATAAAATGTAGGTATGATATATACATTAGCAGAATAAGTTCTTCATCTGATCCGATAATGGCTTTAATAGGGAGGTTTGAGCATCTGTAAAACTGGTCTAAGGTTTGTGCACCTGTCAAACTGGTCTATGGTTTGTGCGCCTGTCAAACTGGTTTAAGGTTTGTGCACCTGACAAACTGGTCTAAGGTTTGTGCACCTGTCAAACTGGTCTAAGGTGTGTGCACCTGTCAAACTGGTCTAATCCCACCCTATTTTGTTCCTGTACCAAGTTAGGCTATCACGACCATGTGATGTTCGTTGTGGTTGGTCTTTGTGCGTCCTTTTTTTTCGGAGGTGTTGTGTGTTGGTGTGGTCAGTTGTACTATTTATATACTGTGTGTTCTTTTTATGTATTATTAAATGCTCCTTCTGTAGTGTATATTTTGTAACTCATTAGTTTAACGCCGCCACAGATAAATGATATAAAGATAAAGAGATTGCCAATGAGACAACTATCCACCAAAGTTCAAATAAAGTGGATGTAAGCAATTATAGGCAACCGTACGGCCTTCAACAATGAGAAAAACCCATACCGTAAGGTCGGCTTTAAGAGGGCCCGACATGAAAAATATGAAACAATTCAATTGAGAAAACTAACGGCGTCTGTTATATAAAATTGAGAATGGAAACGGGGAATGTGTCAAAGAGACAACAACCCGACCAAAGAGCAGAAACAACCGAAGGACACCAATGGGTCTTCAACACAGCGAGAAAATCCCGCACCCGGAGGCGGGCTTCAGCTGGCCCTTTAACACAAATGTGTGGTAGTTTAATGAAAATGGACGTCACACTAAACTCCAAAACATGTAAATGAACTAAAATTAAAAAAACATACAGGACTAACAAAGCCAGAGGCTCCTGACTTGGGACAGGCGGAAAAATGCGACGGGGTTAAACATGTGCTGTGAGATATAAACCCTCCCCGAATACCTCTAGACAATGTAGAATAAACAAACGCACAGCAATACGCACAGTAAAACTCAGTTTAAAAGAAGTATGTAGTTCGTGGTAGGTTTCTAGTTTTGATTCCTTTAGGTCAAAACAATTTTAATATGTTTACCGCGAGAGGGCAAATATTATTCAAGGTCTATATTTCAAAACACACAAATTAAAACCTCGTGAAATCACGTAAAATCTGATTTAATTCATTTTGTGTCCATCAGTGATTTCAAGTATGTAAATTATTTTTCTCATAGATATTCAAAACCTTTACCTCAATCAGTCCAAGTGATAACTAATAGAATTCTAACGTTGATGAAAACAAATTAAAATATTTAAATTTGAAGATTTGATTTTATCAATTTTGAAGTAGATTTGTAAACTATCAAGTAAATAAGTCCGAGATACTTTTGAACTTGTTTCAATATTCAACCGGCACGCGACTAACGTAATGACAGACGTGTGTGGTTTCAGCTTTGTCGTTACAAGTGTTTGCATAGAGCATGACGGATCACCAATTAGCAAGCTTTTTCTGTAGAAAGAGGCTACTTGAAAATATCATTGACAATCTATGAATATGTTGTTAATCCGTTATACATGATGAAGGGGTAATATTGTGTCCGACAAATGATCGTTATTTAAAATCATCAAGAGGATTAGTGGAGAAGTACCGGTTTTCAATTATTATAATAAAAATGCATTGTCAATCTGGACAAGATCGAAAAACATGGAATCTAGATCAGGAATTCCAATTAAACACGACCATAAAAAAATAGAAGCCACTTGCATGTATCAGGTTGGGGAGGGTAAACGGAAAGTAAAAAATCAGTAGCATGTATCAGGCTGTATAAGGGGGAGGGGATGTAAATCAAAGTACATCGTAATGTTACAATAACGGTGGAATATCGTTCGTCCTGCATATTTTGCCATGTTCACCAACAAAATATCTTAGAGAGAATGACGGTTCAGTAAAACAAATAACAGTTGTAAGTTATGACGGTTCAGTAAAACAAATAACAGTTGTAAGTTATGACGGTTCAGTAAAACAAATAACAGTTGTAAGTTATGACGGTTCAGTAAAACAAATAACAGTTGTAAGTTATGATGGTTCAGTAAAATAAGGATCATCTTTTGTAGTAGTATTTGGTGAAAAGAGTCATTGTATAATATTTGATTGTTTGATTGTCTTGGATAGATTTTTTTTTATGAATAGATATTTCTCATTAGTTTGTTTACCAATTATAACAAACATATTACTTATCTGTATGAGGTCTTGATGGGGGTCCTTTGTTTCTGTATTCCTTAATTTTTAGACCATCATTCTCTATTCTCTATTTATTTTGCCCATTACTCTCTATTCTTTATATTTTAGCACCCCATTATTAGTCATTCTTTAATATTTTTGTCTTTTTTCCTCTTTAATTCATATTTTTGCCTTTAATTCTGCACTTTTTGTCCTTTATTTTCTATTCTGTAAACCCTATCCAGACCCTCATGTATTTATCCAGGTGCCATTTTAATATGGTAACTTATATTTTAGTTTTTATTTGACAATTTGCATTACATATGCATGAAGTTCAGTATTGTATGTCTTTTAAGGCAGGAATCTAATACATTAATATTATGCTTTTATATGATATATAGCGTTTTGTATATTATAAGATTGTGTGTGAAATCGCATTTTCTTTTACAACCATTTTCCGTGCATGTCTTAAGTGACATACTTTTAATTTTTTTTCAGAGAAGGAAAATTTTGGTACGGGTCAGTGTTAAATTATATTTGTATATCAATCAAGGTGACCCTTTTAGTTTACAATAATGTCACAAAAAGCTCAACGCTTCGATTTTAGATCAGTTACTTCAACAAGAAGCGAATGTTCATTTGAGTTTCCGACTATAAGAGCAAAGTAAACTCTTCATTTGATCATGACTGCACTAAATATCTAAAGAAGTATTTAACTAATTACTTAAACGACTAGTTTGGAAATCTGTTCACCTGCAGTTTTCTCACAACCTGTTTGCATTGTAATAGGACGAGATTGGGAAGGTGCCTGGTTTATTGAACGTTTTTGTAATGTGATCTAGTACCAGATCACAACGTGTTTACTTATGAAAAATATGATCGTATGTCTCCTGAGATTGGTAAGATTTGAAACACCACTCATCAGAAAATGTAGAAAGAATCTTCAATTTTAATTGACGTATACAATTGTACTATTTACAAGATATTTTAACTTGAGGTGCCCATGTAATCCCGCTGAATGAAGACAAATTAGGTATCTTTTGTCAATGTTTCATACTTCGCTATCCCGGAGTCTTTATATGACACAAATGTGTAGTATAAGTCAATTAGACAGAAAACCATGAACACAAAATCAGAAAAGACATTAAAGGTAAAAAAAAAGGCCTTAAAAATATGTAGATAAATAGTCAATAATCATATGTTGATAAGTTGAAAATCTTCAAGATATTTTTCTAATTTAAAATTAAACTGAGGATACACAAGATACGTAACACCATTTTTTAAAGGACAACAACACTTATATATAAACAACATCAGTAACTGTCACGAGTATCAAGCACTACGCACTTTAAAGAACCCTTGCAACAACTTGTTGCAGGATTTCTGATTCTACATCCAATATCCTTTCCATTGTCATTTCAAATTACTGTCCTTCCTCTTGGTCGCCCCACTTTGTAGAACCTAACTATTGGATGTGTTGCTATTTTGTTCTAATCCAGAATATGCATAAAATATTTGCCACTGGACGTTAAGCAAACAATGAAAAATTAATCAAGTCAAGGTTATGGTGGTCCTGTTGGTTGGTCAAATTGGTTTTATAGGACATGTCTTAAAATGTGTGCTCTAGGACTGGTTTCGATCAAACTCACCAATTTTAAGATTTATAATCTATAGTTGAACAATTATAAAACCGTTCGGAGAGTTTTCAGGAAACTATTTAATTTCAAAATCACTATCCCATATTGTTCTGCTTTCTTTTTCTACACTTTTGCAAATGTGTTGTAGTCCGCCTCACACTTTGTTAATCCGCAACTTCTTGGAAACGGCTACACAGAATTCAATCAAATTTGTATTTAATGGCGGGAGTTTTGCAACACCTCTTTTAATTCTTCTGCAAACTAGCTCATGATTTTGACTTGATTTTTTATCTACTAATAGTAAGGAGTTCCTCATTTCTGCTAATATTAGTTTGCTTATCCACAATTCCTTTAAAATTGCAATTATACGAAGTTGGAAAGGGAAATAGCCTCCGAAAATATCATGATGTAATTGAATGTATAAGCTATTGGGTTCAAATAATTAGCACGTACGTACATGTACAATCCTTGATGTATGATATGTTTGTTTTTGACATTTTAGATTTTATATTAAAAGTACTTATGTTTTCATGGCTTTATGTTTGTTTTATTTGTACATAATAAAACCGAAATACCATCCCCTCGTTGATGACTTATAAAATATTGTGTCATTTTAAGATAACATTTATATAAATAAATGAATTATACGTGTGTTTACTCGGACTATTAAATTTATGCGCGCAAACGTATTAAATAACTGCGTGCAAATGCAATGGTAATGCGCAAAGATGTTAATATTAAACACCGAGAATAACACATTATATTAAGCATTGGTTTTTTTCTCGATACTGGACAGTTATTTGCTCTCTGAATGTGTTAAAAGGGTATTATAAATGTTTTGCATATGGGCATGTTCACACTATACGGACTTCATATACAGGAGTGTGCTCCTTACGCAGAAACTGCTCCAACAGAGTTATGAGGAGGAAAGATTAAAAATGACACTCCGTAAATTTTATGGACACCATCACTAATTGGTTGATCTATATGATGTGTCTGTGTCTAAACTAACTAAATACATTTTTACTATGTCTTATCGTTTGTGGTTTGAATTCTTTATTTTCGGTACATTTCACATATGTCTTATTTGTCAGTATAGTCGAGTTAATTTCCATTTTCTATGGATAAAGTATTGTGTTAGTCCAAATAATTATGACGTCGTCACAGCATTTATTTCAAATAGCCTTGCAATACCGTCATAGTCATGATAATTGTTTGGACTATTATTGTGAAAATAATTGTATGAATTTCAAGATTATATGTTCGTTACAAAAATACGTCACTGTTTGTGATGTCCTGTGCTATCGTAAATGGAAAAAGTTCGTTGTTATTCTGCGGATTACATGTTGTAACGACTATTATACTATTTATTTGTGCGTTTCTCTGTGCTGAGTGTTCTTGTTTGTTTGTGCTGTATTTCTGTCACGTAGTGTTGTCATTTTAGCGATATTTTTTAACATTGCCATATAAGCGGGAGGTTTGGCTAGCCATAAAACCAGGTTCAACCCACCATTTTTCTTAAAATGTCATGTACCAAGTCAGAAATATGGCAGTTGTTAGCAAATAGTTCGTTTCTATGTATGTTGGCGTTTGTTTTTGTTTCACTTCAGTGTTTCTGTTGTTCCGTTGTTTTCCTCTTATAGTTGATGTGTTTCACTCGGTTTTAGTTTGTAACCCGGATTTGTTTCCTCTCAATCGATTTACGACTTTTGAACAGCGGTATACTACTGTTGCGTTTACTTAAAATGAATTTCAGCCAGATGATATCTTTACTGCATAGAAAATGTATTTAAAATGTCTAAAATTTAAGGTATGGTAAAAGGTTCATGCATGCATTTTCAGCGAGTTCCAAGTCATCTTAAACTCGATATTTTTTGTCACTACTTTTTAAATTTGTTTTTTGTAATTTATTTTACTTACCATCCTTATTCATCTTAACTTCTAGACATTTTTTGAAACGACAAGCCTGACACTGGTTTCTCCTGGCAACATCTACAATGCATTGGCCATTCTCTTTACAAACATAATCTAGATTTCGTCGAATGCTTCTCTTGAAAAAACCACGACAGCCATCACAACTCAAGACGCCATAATGCTTACCGGAAGCCTTGTCGCCACATACGCGACACAGAGATTCGGGTTTCCTGCTCAAATGTCCATTGTCTAGAAAAGAAAAAAATTATAGTTTATCAAATGCACATTGTCTAGAAAAGAAAATTATGATTTTAAATTACATTTTTCAAAAATGGCAAGATGAATTGAATTTTTTTTTTTTTTGGGGGGGGGGGGGGTGGGGGGGTCTGTTAAGTTGGCTTTCTTCGTAGAGGAATGTTTAACATTACTTTGAAGGATTGCTATCAACTTTGCTTCTTACAAGATCGAAAAGGTGGACCGGTTTCACTATATGCTCACAAATGAATAGTTTTAGGGCCCATTATTCACCGGGTACATTATTCTGACTATGAAACAACCAGTTTGTTTTCTCTCTCCTAAATTCCGCACGATTAGTGTAGAGGCAGCAAGTTTTAAAGTCTTTCATTTGATCCTTCCTCGTTTGCTTAAACTATTTAAAGTCGTGAATAATGCCTGATATTCCCCTAAGTTCCTGAAATTTTATAGACAGAGAATATCGAAAGGAAATAACATAAACTGTTTCAGACCTATGAGGGTCTAGATGAGGTTCACAGAATAGAGAATAATAACAAAAAATATTGAACAGAGAAAAATGAACAAATAACATAATTAAGCGTTATTCTAAAAGGTATAGAAAAATGCCCTTAAATTTTACAGAATACAGAAATACAAACCCTCGCCCATGTTGAAGATGTATGCTTTGGGTTGGAGTAATTCGACAATTTCTTATGAAGTGGCGGGTCCAAGGGGGGAGGGGTTCCGGGGGTTGGAACCCCCCTTTTTTGATGATCAATGCTTTTGAATTGGGACATATGGTTGGAACACCCCCCTTTTATCCTGGGTTGGAACTCCCCTTTTAAAAATGGATGGATCCGCCCCTGTTATGGAAGATATATAATAAAATTACATATCCAAATATAAATAACCATTTTATTTTCTATGACCCTTTTAAGCTAAGAAACAATTAACGTTGAAAATCATCTGGGAATTTATAATAAACAAAAATCAAAAATCAAAACAAAATTTGTTTCTATTATCTGAATGCAAGTTTCAACAAATAACCATAAGTAATTTGATAAATAGAGAGAACTTGTATTATCATTACACAGAAATGAACAATATTACAACAATGCGACTCCTTAATCTCTTGTTAATATAATCTGATTAACTCAAAAAGAATTTATGACTTTTGATATGTAGCTGTAATATTTCATAACATTGAACATTTATTTAATATGAAAGAAAATCGGTACTTATTCACGTAGAAGTTACATTGAAATACATATGTATCAGCATTATGAAAAAGTACTCTTAGTTGAAAGCCCAAAATGACCATGTCTTTAATATCAATCAGTACACCTCCAACGAATTTAATGTGTCATTTAATACCAGTCGTAGAAAATATTGACCTTGTGCAATGCCAAAATATAAGTAATGTCAAGATGTAGGATAAGTGTCAAGAACAAATTGCCAATACGTGTTTTAAGTTATGTATAAAATAAAACTGGTTAAACAGTCATGTATAGTATCAACTTCTAAAAACGCATAAAAACACCAACTTTCTATTCATTCTTGTAACTACAACATGAAAATGAGGTCAATGACATACTATATAACTCACGTGCCATCTTAATTTTTCATCCCCTGGTACAGATACCCAGAGATGAGAACCATGACGGGTACTCCACTGCAAGATTTAGGGAATACATTTTAATCAGTCATTTTACCATTTTATTGGGCCAAATATAATGTTTCAATATTAAACTAGACAAAGTGATGCCCCCGCAGATGCAAAGTGTTATTTTAGAGTACACAAAGTTGAGCATGGGAGCACATAGGTCTACAGTTCACTGTAGGAGGAGTTATCCGAAAACGCTATGCACCTCTTATGCAAGTTTATACTCCAAAAATGACAAAGTTCAACTATCTCCCAAAAGAGCAAATTTTAATAAAAATCAAAACCCTGACCACATACACACCTTCAATATATCTATAAACAGCCAGCAAAGTGAAAACTTCCTAGCGTTCAAACTGTAGGAGCAGTTATCCTGAAATGCTATGCACCTCTTATGCAAGTAAATACTCCAAAAAATGACAAATTTCAACTATCTCCCAAAAGAGCAAATATTAATAAAAATCAAAACCCTGACCACATGCACACCTTCAATATATGGACAAACAGCCAGCAAAGTGAAAACTTTCTAGCATTCAAACTGTAGGAGGAGTTATCCGGAAACGCTATGCACCTCTTATGCAAGTATATACTCCATATATGACCAAGTTCAACTATCTCCCAAAAGAGCAAATATCAATAAAAATCAAAACCCTGACCACATGCACACCTTCAATATATGTATAAACAGCCAGCAAAGTGAAAACTTCCTAGCATTCAAACTGTAGGAGGAGTTATCCGGAAACGCTATAACCCATAATAGGACGGAAAGACAGACGGAAGGACGGACAGACGGACGAACGGACAGGGGTAATACAATATGACCCCAACTTTCCGTTGCAGGGGCATAAAAAAGAGACGGGGTATGATTGCCAATTAAACAACTATACACAAAAGACAAAAGGACTCGCACATAATGTGGCAGGATTTAACATGTCTGTGAGCGATCAACCTAAACCCCTTTTCCTCATCTTCGACAGTGATGTAACAGCACAACATAAAAATCAGTTGAAAAAATTGACTCATCAGGTCGACACTTATCACACACAAACAAAACTTAACATAAAACAAAAGGGACTGATCTTTAAGTACTCGCAGTACTGTCAGCTAGTTCAAAACCAATCCCAACCTATAAATAAACCATGAATATCAATCAGTACATATCCAATGCATGGATTTAGGGTAACAATGTCATAAATAGTATTCAGGCCAAATTCCGGACTTTAAAGGTGGGTTCGAGAGAATTCCTTTTTTTTTTGTGAGAATCCTCTGCAACAAAGAATAAAATCAGACAGATTTTTTTTTACAGAAAAATGTAACTGATCAAAAGGCAACAACAACTTTCTGCATAATATTTTTCATGCTATAACTTGTTTTTTATGCAACTATTCTACTGTTTTCTGTACATTCTATACACTTCAATGTAATCCGATTTACATCGTCTCGTTCCATTACAAAATGTTGTATGGTTTAAAATGAGATTACCTATGATCTAGGATCATACCAAAGGTGTGAAACGATTAGATGTGCCATGTTTTAAGAAATTGGACAAGATTAAATAAAATGAATGACCGAGGAAATAAAAAAGTGTATATATGGGATATTAACACATGAAGAAGAGTAAAATGTTGACATTTTAAAGTGAAAACTTGATATGGAACATTTGCGAAAATGGTGCTATTTTAAGCAAGGTTTTAATTAAGAATGTCCAAAATTTATATTTTGAAGAATTTAAGGAAGAATGTAATGACAAAATTATGTCAAATGACAAAATATAATTACGTACATAAAGACTGTTCAAAAATGTATATGGTGTAGAAAATTATTTTAATTTTCCATATACCTCGTAGATACAGGAGTGTTTTGGCAACATTTAGATGTGGTGTATTAAAACTGGTCGTTATGAAAATATTGATACAGAACGTAGAGTATGTTTTAATTGAACTGATTACGTTGAAGATGAAAACATGTTTTGTTAAACTGTCCTGTATATGCATATATCCGTAATGTTATTTTTAAACATGCTAGTATTGTTGATAAGAATTTTTTTACTTATGTCTGATAATGAGAAATTTACATTCCTTTTTACAAATGAAAATATGGTATTCTATACTGCAAGAATCTGCAATAAAAGTTGTTTTAAAGCGAAACATATTTTATCCTCATGACTTGTATTTGTAAATATTAAATTGTGTTATAGTCTCTCTTAACTCTTTATAGAGTGACTCTTGTTTTTAACTTGTGTTTTTCTATGCTGTATATTTTACTTGTAATAAGTGGTATTTGGCTTATCTTGCCATGTTCACCTTTTCTAAGACAATTTGCCTTATTGCAAGACGTACTGAATGCACTCTTTTAGTGAATGTAGTTTGTTATATCCGATTAATTAACCTTTATATAGTTTGATTGGCAAATACATCGGTTTCCGAAGGAATTTTTCGGATATTACAAGATTAAATTAAATGTAATTGCTAAGGCACTAACTGTTCATCTTTAGTGGGGGCGGGGGTATAGGTCTTTTAAATAACTCTTTTAATTCTAAGAGACTAAGAGAACATCTATGCCTACTACGGGTCAATGTTCGGCCTTCAAAAATGTACTAACAAACTAATAATATTAAGATAAATAAATATGTTTCTATACTGACGATTAAAATATTCAGAGTAACACAGAAAAAGTTGTTCAACGAATATGTCAATACTTTGCAAATAAATGCACTGATAATTATTTATTTCGATCAGATGTGAAGTTCTGGGAATGAAAGCTTACTTTATTTATATGATTAACGGTTGTTTTTTTATTTATTTATTTAAAGCTACGATTTAAATAAAAATATAAAATATAGTTATATTTGTTTCAAACATTGATATACCAGCGGAATATTGAACTAATATTTCGCTATACGTAAAGATTGGTTAAATTTTGTCAAAATAAGCTAAATAACATCGCTTGTGTATTATTGGCTTGGATTACGTATTAAATAAAGTTTGAGAGTTTTTATATATTTGTTGGGTATACATTTGGCAGCTAATGTCCCTTTAACCTAATATATTCTAGTCTTGTCGTTTTGGATGCTGTCTATCCTCGTGCTTTGGTCTCTGGGGATATGTGTCTCATTTTCAATCCTACCACATCTTCTTATCTTTATATAAAATGTATTTATCTGATTTCATTTTGAAATTCTGATTATAGAATGTTGTAACGATTTTAATAAACAACATACTATGCGACGGGTATAATATATTTATATTGACTATGAACTTATATGGTTTGTATTGAAACAAATGTCTAACAGAAGAACAATTGGACGAGAAAAAAATATCTACTGTTAACTGTAAGTCTTCAAATACAGGACAGCATGTAAGTCCCTCCCCTCTCACTAATCCTAGAAAGTAATATATTATTCTAATTTCGTAGAAGTTTCATGAAAATTCATAGGCTGATTAACAAAACTAATAAGACAGACGTGCTATTGAAGTTGTTGACGATTTTCTAGGACAAAAACAAATGGAAAAATTATCAGCAAAGCTTACAAACTCATACCACATTTTTTTTAAAAGATTAACCAAAATTCATGTTTGCAATGGAAAATACAAAGGTCACAGTGCGATCAGGTAATAAAGATTCATTCTCTGAAAGGTTATTTAAAATACAGTTTCGTCCTGAACATGCATGAAATATTTGACACCGGACGGTATGCAACCGGCAATCAATAAAATTATTTATACAGTCACTGTTTCAGCAGTTTTTGGATACAAAGTACGGGTTCAAAAACTATCACACAGAACGATCATTGTATACCGTACTAACTGAAACTGAGTTATAATAATTACTACCCCCCCCCCCCCACTTAACGAATTCTTTGTTTTATGTTGGCTACCTATGCCTAATAGGGCTGAGTAGGTAGGTAGGAATTTTTTGTTTGGCCAACAACATCAGTTACATGTTTTAGACAAGAAAACGACGTTAGAGCATAAAAAAAAATTATAAAAAAATTTGAAAGGATTTGTGTCATAAAATTTTTCGGGTAGGTTGCTTTTTAGGTGGGTAGGTAGGCAACATCAAACAATTCTAATTTTATTTTTGGCCCCAGTAAGTAAATTGATATCAACTTTACACAACGATTTAACAACAGATTTCTCGAAAAGTGGTGGTCCGAAGGTTAAGTTTTGATCACCAAAATTTGGCAAAGGACCGACACAACTTTGCAATAGAAATATTTGTGAAGACCAGCAGATTTTCTTCAAGGACCACCAGGGGAAAAAAGATTTCGAAAACCCTGTAACAACAGTATAGTTTTTAAAAACCTTTGTACATAGGCCATCATTACAAATAAATGATATGAAGCAGTGCAGTGTTTGCTGTCTTAAAAAAGCTGGGTGTAAAATACCATTTTATTAAAAATTGTTGTAGTGAATTTATAATTTCAGAACAAGTTCCTACAATCAAATTTGGTAGAAATTCAGATTTCAACAATTAACGATCTCTTAATCCTTGTTTTAAACACTTTTGGTCTAAATATTACGTCCATAGAATCGGAGAGGTCCAATTCAACAAATACGAATATATTGAACAAAATGAAAAGTATGGACTCCATAAGGAGACAACGGAATATATACATAAAAGTTATTGGGAAATGAAAGTCGTCCCATTTGTCTTACAAGTATGCACTATTTCTTAGAACGCACAATAAGATAATTGAAGAAAAAATTTCCAATTATCCAAATCGTACCAGTGTTTTAGATTTACTAACTTAGATTCCCACACCAACGATTCGGAAACAGACGAACCAACGTTGGAAATATCAACAAAACGAGATGGATTACTCGGGTTATAGATAGTTCACCGAGTACTTGAAACACATGACAACATTTGTGCATGCAAAACATTCGGCACTCGCGGAAATTGAAAAAATTATTTTCAAGAAAGCAAAACAATCTGACATCGTCACTTTTTTGCCGAAGTTGTAATATAATATAACTTGTTTGTCTATGTAGCAATAAATTTATTGATTCATTCGCCAAAATGCCTTGTCTAGTTCCCAATGTTTCCCTTACAACGAATTCGCTATATTGTATAAAGATATTCTTTATTATATCAATATAACGAATTACGTCTATAGAAGAGTAATACCACTGGTCCCCAGAAATTCGTTATAACCAAGTTTTACTGTATGCCCTATTTTTAGAAAGCACCGTATGGTAAGTGATTAGCAAACTTTTTAATTATCAAAATCCTACCAGTGTTTTATATTTACCAACTTGGGAACATTTTGTACGTGTTATGTTATATGAATTCTCCCAGAAATTTTGAGAAACGCCTCTACACATGACTCGTATTTCCGTTTAAGTCTCAGTTTAAAAATTCGGCCTTCTTCGACACCTTTCATAAGTGGAAACTAAAACTGGTTCCTTTTAGGATTTTAGCGAAAGTACGGACGAACGAAGAATGGTTAAAAGGGATACGCTTCATTTACGCTTCAAAATCGTCGAAAATGAATTCTAAAATCAATTCCCCAATCGAAAGTCAAGGCCGACCGTGCAAGGGCTGTATAGCCAGTCAAGGTCGTTAAAAACTTCCATTTGTTGAAAGTCAAGGACGTTGGATGTTGGTAAAAAAATATGGGACTTCCATTTCCTAAAAAAAATCTTTTAAATGGATATAATCCCAAAAGTAGCCAACCATCATTTTTTTTATGATTATAACAATTAATAAACAAAGAATAAGGAGAATTTCTCTGGCGGGATTTTTTCCCGTGCAGCTAACTGAGTTTGTCTCAGTAGATTACCAGAAATTGACACCACAATAGAGATGTCCGTTTCATTCGACCGTTGACCCCAATTACATGCTTGGATGATTTACAGTCTTTGTATATCAATTCTGGTCCAATTTTCTCACATATAAATGAAACAATCGTTTGATAATTAATTATTTGTAATGAGTTAAATAGTACAGTATCGTTATTTTTGGGGTGAAAATAATTCCATTTACTAGACTTTGAGTTACATTTTAATCTTGAAACAAGGTTACGAGACAAATAATTTCAAATACGATTTTTTGTAAGTCAAGGGAAAACCTTCGGCATAAAAGAAAATATAAAAAGGTACATAAATCATGATACTATCTAATAAAGAGGTCCACAAGTTATGATTCTGTATAAAAAAGAGGTCAACGAGCTATGATACTGTATAATAAAGAGATCCATGAGTTAAGATAATAATTAAAATAAAGAGGTCCATGAGTTTAGATACTGTAAAATAAAGAGGTCCATGAGTTAAGATAATATTTAAAATAAAGAGGTCCATGAGTTAAGATAATATTTAAAATAAAGAGGTTCATGAGTCTAGATACTGTAAAATAAAGAGATCCATGAGTTAAGATAATATTTAAAATAAAGAGGTCCATGAGTTTAGATAATATTTAAAATAAAGAGGTCCATGAGTTAAGATACTGTAAAACAAAGAGATCCATAAGTTATCATACTATTTAATAAAGAGGTTTAAGAATTATGGTGGTGTTTCATTAAAAGGTCTACGAGTTAGTATAATGTATAATGAAGAAGCTATGATATTGAACAACTTTTTGCGAATTTGCTGCACATGAAGTTGCAAAAAAAATAGCTTTAAAATTGTAAGAGTGAAAAAAGCAAATACAAAAGGGATATATCATTATGGTACTGTCGCCAATAAGTCCTGCTTTCGGAAAATATATCACGAAGACAGTCCTTCCCAAAAGTAACAATATTTGCTTTAAAATTCTCCAACAAATTTGAAATACAAGTCTGAAGAAAAATATTTTCCTGAAACAATATGATGAATAAGTGTTACAACTAATACTGTGTAACATTATAAAGCAAAAAATACTGTCATGGTATCTAATATTTAAAATGATGAGCTCCAAAATTTATTTCATTGATAGATATATATCTCTCGAAAATATATATAATAAGAAATATCATTTTACTCACTTGAATTATAGCTATGAAGTTCCGGTGGAGGCGGCAAAGTGGCGCTCATAATGTGACAACAAATAAAAATTATCCTCTCTTCCAGGCACCATGGAGCAGTTGAGGAAACAGTGTCATTAGATGAGTTGGTGTCACACTATTATCTTTGGAGTTCAGGTGTGTGTGTGTGGAGACAATCGGTTGTGACTTGTCACGTGCTGCTTGAGCAGAAGATGACTCGAAGAGCGAATGGTGATTGGTTAATCTTTGGGAAAACTATGAAGAGGGATGTGTCTATTGGACATTTTTTAATCTGAGCTCTTAGAGGTATTGACAGATAATTAGCGTTTATTCATTTTTAAATATTTTTATGCAATAATTTTACTGTATTACATGATTATTGACAAATAAACTACTTAATGTATTTAATATTTGAGCAAATAATAGATGACGGCTTAATCCTTCGACTTCTATGTTTTGTGTTCGTTTTTATAAAAAGGATTATCCCTCATTGCGGATCAGCTTAATTGGTCAACTTTCTGTTATAACACATATTTTTGGAGTATTTGTTGCCTAGCATGGACATACATTTATACATTAAAGATGCATGCCGCGTGGTGTTTTTTGTGTGTGGTTTTTTTTAATTCAAGCACTTTCACTACCGGCTCGTGTGCCTATGATTTAGTCAATTAGAATTCATGACATAATTATTAATTGTTAGAAATTGATGATCTACTTTATATATTTTAACCAAATGTTGTGTTTCGTGAACGATTGGAAAATGTTTTTAAAATACTCTTTCTCTACTCAGAAAAATATTTTACGATAACATCTTAATAATACTTCTTTATAATTTTAAAAATATTATTCAGTAGGTCCCATGGAGATTTTTTTTTAATAAAGGGATGCTTTTATAAGTTGAAAAACAAATTCTCAATTAAAATAATAAAAGGCATGAAAATAAGAAAATCATTTTATTGGTAAACTAGAAAAGGATAAAGAAAAATGAACTGAACGTATTTTTTGTTGTTGTTTGAATTACTTACTTCTTTAAATAGTTTTATATTATGATTGATTCTGGCAATAAAAAGGATATATATAGAGTTAGTATATCCAGTATTTATTTCATCAGAATAGGATATAAATAGAAATAATCAGGCCTTTTATTCGTCATTGAAAATTAAAATTCACGGTATCGCAGTTTCACGTGATATACTTTGAGGTTATTACGACAGAATGTTCTTCTGAGTATTAAATCCAATTATAATGGCATTGAATGGAAATGATATTCCAGACATGGAAAAACTGAATCTACCGGTATGCATATTTTTTTTTCAAATGAAAATAATTCATTTGTGTTGGGGATGTCCCTAAATGCAAAATTTACAATATTATATCTCATTCTCTTAAATATAAAATAACTGGATTGTCCTTCCTATCTAATACATGTATTTTTTTCGTCATATTAATAAAGTGATCTGATGATAACATTGTTCATCAACTAACAATGTTTCAATAAAAGTTGTCTTTATCAGCAACAAATGAAGTGGAATAAAATGTTGATGATTTCTTGGATTTATATACATTGCTGTTGTTAAAAATAGAGTATATATTTATACTCTTTTAGGTCTTGTCCACATTTGCGGTATGATCCGGTCCGGACTGGATCGCAACCCTTTGCTAGCGAAGATTAGAGTACTAAATTGGTTCTCATTTCGTTTTCGATGAATATAAACGATTTAAAACTCGTTTCATAGTGTGAGATGAGTTGCGTTTCTCAAATTGAACTCGTCCGAGATTTTTCTCGAGAAATCAAAGCTTTTTTAATGTCAAAATTCCGTTAGTCTCTTTTAATTTTGCTATATCTATCATTTTCAATTGATGAAAAATCAAGCAAAATCTAGAAAGTATGGTTATATCTCTCTAAGGTTTCTGCCAGAGCCCGACTTGACAGGCGGACTTTTTCCCTTGTTTTTGTCAGTCTCGTGTCATGTTTTTCCACCATAGAAGTGGAATTCTTCTTTTGGGTTCAAAATGTTAATGTTCGCGTTTTCCTGAACAAATATTATTGTCAAAAATCAATAGCTGACCACTTAATTCCTAACACTAGTCTGGAAAGCTTATAATCAAAACTTTTCAGACAAGCTTTGGTCACACAAATTCTAATTGATTCGTTTGTTGTTGCCGGCTTGTTAAAAGATTATGGTCACACTTTTCATAAAATCTGTAACATGACAAGTCCCACTCGAATCATCAGATATGTGTCTAGATCAAAGTATGTTTGTCAAAATTAGCTTCGTTTATTCACAATATAGAAATGTACTCCCAATTCAAAGTTTCTAAAGTTTGTATAACTTGGTCGATGGAAAGTCGACAATCTAGCTGAATTACAAAAATGGTGGTCTATATGAGATAAAAAAAAAAGTGATTTGTTTTTAACTGCATGTATTACAATAGACTTGATCGTTAGGACTTTTTTATTCTACAGTATATTTTGTTCATATCTTTTGTCCTTTAGTCTCCAATGGAACGCTATCGCATTGGAAATCATATTCTTTTCCTTATTTTTATCGCTTTGAAAATCATACCTCATCTCCTTATTTTTATAAGCTCATATAGTATTATACTCTTTTATGGTTATTTCGAGTAAACTTAAACCGATACACGTAATTTTTCTTGCCTCAATTGTCTAATTGATAGGTATTACATAAATTGTACCATAGTACTACCATATACGATTGATAAATGCTCTGTTTTGATGAACAAACAATTTTTTCTACCGATACCTCCTAAGGATACTAAAAGGCCATCCTTGTACGTGCAGAAACGGATGAATCCGCATTTTTCGTTTTTCCACGAATGCCTGTAATATTTTAACTTTGTTAGAATAACCAATTAGACATTGTTGGATTGTAGATAAAATGCATCAAAACATCTCTTGAACATGGATATGAGTGTTTTCTTTCTTTTTATCTTGTCACGTTGTTCCGCGGGAAGGATGCGAAACTATAACAATTGTCAGTACTTCAGAACATGTTAATCAAAACAATCTGGAAATAAATTGTAATAGAAAAATATCAACCAAAACTTTAAAAGTATACTTCGAGCTAGAAAATGAGGAAGAATATATAAGTTGATGTTTTATTCAAGGAATCACGATGTGTAATCATCTAATTGTTCCTCCTTCGTTGTTTCATTTCCTTCGTACACTGAACGAAACTATTTTTACATTTATAATGTATATAGTTTAAAGTGTGCATTATAAGATCATTTCCTCAAGATCATATTGGAGAAAAATACAGTTTTATGGTAATTATTTTTTTACACTTTCTCGAATATCTGCACTTGTAGATATGTTTATTTTCAGTTTTTGAACATTTCAATTTCAGTAGATTCGTCTTTCTATTTTTTGTTAGAAGCCACATTAAATTTGAACAGCTTCTGAAATTTCATTGATTAAGTATAAATGAAATATGTTATCATGCAGATTATTATGTTATTAATAAAGGAATCAACTCTTAAATTACCTCCTCAAACATTAAATATGCTTGTAATATATAATTATGTTTGCTGCAATAAATGAAATTGGGCATTATGTGTATTTGCCTTGGTAATAAATTGATGTCTAAAATTATTTCCAGCAGTTACTGCATATGAACTTAAATGTGTAAGTAAAGGTACTTGCTAATCATTGAAATCATTATTACCTAAGGTACTACCATCCTTTGGGAAGAGTCAATACTGTTCACCTTTATAAGTGACGGTAATTTTGATTTTTCCAATAATTTTCCATAAGTTGTTTCGAAATCATTATAAACAAAACGAATTTTTTTAGTATTTTGTTCCCCACAAAAATGCAAAGTAAGCGGAAATTAACTAAAATTTGACATAATAAAAGAATTTTGACGAATTATTTCATTTCATATTGCTGTAAGCAGGCGAATCTTTTCTCTGTGTTTTTTATGATTTTAAATCTATACTTCTTATTTTTCGGGGAGAAATGATGAAAAGTTACAAATATATTTCAAATTGCGTTTGTGCATTATTGCGGTTGGAGTCATCTCTCGCTAACAGTGCATTCTATACAAAAATGTCACATCATTATCAGGCGATTGTGGATAACACGCTCATTCGATTGGTTAATAATTAAGTATTCCGCGATAATTGCAATTAAATTTTAAGATATAGAACTTCTTGGCCATCTACACGTAAAAAACCTCAAGGGCAAAAGTTCACAAAGTTTTCTAAGAAATCAAATATTACACAGCGTCAGGACATCAGATAACTGTTACAGAGATATATTAGCGCAATAGAAAAGGTGGGAAATAATGTTTAGGTGTTCAAACAGTCACCTGATTGGATAAATCAATATCATTTGAACACCAGAATAGAAAAATACGTGCGATGAACAGCAAGCCTCATTTATCATTTAAATTTTAGTGAACCCAAACGAAACACCTGTTGTCTTTAGTTTGAGCATTTCATCGGTGTTATACAATGTAAAATTAGTCCAATAAACATGTTCTATCATAGAAGGGTTTGCCCGATCACACTTCGGTAAAGCAGGTTTGGTTCCTTATATTTTGAAAAATGAGTATTAAAAAGTTTATGTCACCAATATTCTAACCAAGATACAGGTGTGCAGATTTCTGTATTTTATGAAATTTAAATGAGACCGCGTTAATTTTGTTTTTGTTTTCTAACTTTTCCGTTTACGTTTTTGTATTGATTGCTAAAGTTGAGGTCTTATCGGAAGTCAGAAGCTAGAAAAAAAATACTCGTTTTTTCTTCTTTGCGAATTTACATTTCATTTTGATTTAGCATTAATTTCACGAGAAACTTTAAGATGAAATACAAGGATAATAAAATTGAGAATGGAAATGTGGAATGTGTCAAAGAGACAACAACCCGACCAAAGAGCAGAAAACAGCCGAAGGCCACCAATGGGTCTTCAACACAGCGAAAAAATAGTTTATACTGTTGTTATCAAATAGTTCGTGTCTGTGTATGTTGGCGTTTGTTTTGTTGCAGTTCAGTGTTTCTGTTGTTCCGTTGTTTTCCTCTTATAGTTGGTGTGTTTCCCTCGATTTTGGTTTGTGACACGGATTTGTTTTCGCTTAATCGATTTATAATTATATGATTATTGAACAGCGGTATGCTACTGTTGCCTTTATCTATATTGTATAGCTTTCAAGATTATTACTTTAAAAAATGATGTTGCAAAATGAGCTTTTAAAATAGTTTGTTTTCGAATCAACGGACTATTTAATTTATCGTATTAGCAATCATGCTTGTGGTTGAATTTTTAGATATTTCAATTCCCCTCT